AGCCACAAAGCGTGGAAAGGGCCCTCCGCTCAGTAGAACGTAGCTTCTTTTCATCCTCTGAGTCATTAGCAAGTTCTTCAGAGTCATATTCTTCCACAGCTATCCAACCAGCAGGACTTTTATCACCAAACAAATGACCTTGCTTCGTTTGTTCAACTGCACCTTTAGGTTTTTCTAACTACTTATTTATTACTGCAACAAGATTACCTTCCAAGAGCATGGAACAGGTCATGTTAACAAGTTGTAAGAGGTCAGAATTGAACTCTACGTTAGTTCTCAACTCCGAGGATTCGTGGCTTGCATCATCCATAACAAATAAAGTGAGATGTGCAAGTTGCTAAGAGAGATGCCATCGAGTTACCTTGTTCTGTAGCACTACCACGAATCGTCAGATTTTTTTTTTTTTTTTTTTTTAAACCTACCCCCACCCCTCCAAAAAAATTCTTTTTAGCTCCTACTTAAAACAAGCCACCAAAAAATCCCAGAATCGAAAATTTCAAACCCCAAAATATCCTTCGATCATCACTTGAAATCCGGGGTACCCAATGAAGTTGTATTGATGCATTTTTACACTGTGTGCTGCGAAGCTACAACACCAACAGAACCATAAATATTTCTGAATCAGCCCGAGGTCTATTGTTCTGATTTTCAGTTTTGACCTTAAAATGGCGATTTATTACAGTTATGTAAGGGTTACCTCATACATAAAAGTAATCACTGAATAACAATTCTCCCCCTGTATTGTTTATGTTTAAATGAATGAGGTCGAATTCACAGAACGATATTTGTGGATCAAATCACTTAGACATTCCACATCTCCTTTGTGAACTGCAAAACAGTAATTCTCCGAAAAACGAACATTGTAAAAATTTCCTGGAAGAAATGCAATCTCTTTTTCCTTTACTTCGTCCATAGAGGAATTCATAATTGTCGCTTACAAGATCTTGAGAACGGCAGACTTCGTACCACATTTATTTTTAGTTTCCATCCATGTATAGGATGGCCTTTGTTTAATGAGACTTACTTTTGTAGAAGCAACGTGCAACAACTTGAAGATAACAGTGCAGTGCTGGCTAGCAAAACTATTGAAACTTCGATCTTTAATGTTAATGGCAACAGCTTACTGGGCCCGTTGATAATAGGGACTTTCGAGAGACAGGCCCCTGACCTCTAAAAACCATACTCCTTTACAGACCTGGCCTTTAGGCAGAAATTGTCATCATTACTTACATTAGAGCGCAAACAAAAAATTCTTCAAATGTATTTTAAATTTGCAGATTTTTATTTTGTTCTTATTCATTTGGAATTGAAACGATGACTACGTTCATACGCTCCCATAATTCCCAAGAAAACCATACCCAGTTCCAGATCAAAATAGGCAAAGTGTATGCCCGTTTTCAGACCAAAACGACCCAAAGGAAGAAGGATAGGAGGGGGGATCTAGCTGATGTTTAATAGTACCACCCAGTTTATAGTGCATCCATCTGACCAAAATGTCGTTTCCCTTTTTGGTCAGATGGATGTTATCGTCCCGATACATGTTCCTATTTCCCAGGGAAGGTGGTAAGTCATGGTAAAAAACTCGTTCTGGAAAATATTCGTGAACCTGAAAATAAATATGTGTTAGTAACTTGTACTAACACAACAACAACAACAACAATATAAGCGTTATTTTCATGACTATAATTATGTAGTTACAGTATTGCAAAAGCTTTAACGTAAAGTTACAGTTTATAACAATGATAATGCAATGCATTGATTACTACAGTCAATCAAGTGTCATCAGCATGATTTGATAACAAATTAGTGTGTAAATCATTACAGAATGAGACAAATTTCAACAAACGTGAATTTACGGAAAAATTCTGTGAATTCATCAATTTAGTTATTAATTCTGTGTAAGATAGCTGATTAAAGTCGGCAAAATTCTGTTGGATTTGATTGTAGAATTTCTCCCTTGGGGTTGAATATTTTGGACAATGGAAGAGAAAATGAAATTCGTCTTCAGTTATACCAGAGTTACAAATAGGTCAGAATCTATCCTTGCATCATGATCGAACTGTGGTAAAATGGGAAACACATGAATGATAGCAGTTGGGCATTTTTGATAAATTACAGTTAGTATTTTGATGATCGTGGCAGATATAACAGAAGGAGATGTACTTGCCAGATTGTTTGTTCCGCATAGTAGAGAAATATTTGAAACAGATTTGGGGAAGTTCATACTTTCCACCCTGTACAGTATTGCCTCCACAGTGTCACCAGAAATGCCAGCATTTAACACTGTGGAAATGGAGAAGTCAGGGTTTTCATTAAGAATTACAGTAGCAGGAGAGTAGGTTAAAGTAACAGGAGAATGTTGCGAAAGAGCGAAGCTCTTTCGAGGAGCGAGCAACGCTCGCTCCACCCTAGGGGGGTCTGGGGGCATGCCCCCCCAGGAAATTTTGGATTTTTTAACCCTCTGAGATGCCATTTCCTGTTATCTGACAGCAAATTTCATTTCTTTCTAGCTGGCAAACAAAAAGCAATGTATACCTTAAAATGGTGCCAAACGGATGTTTTGTTCTTTGAATTTTACAAGCAAGTAAAGTTAAATCAAGAGCTCTAACCCTTTTACTCCAAGAGTCTTGTCAAATGAGTCAATTGGCCCTATTATCTATCTTACTAAATACCAAATAATAAACCAAAGTGTGAACATTGCAAATGAAAGCTGAAATTCAATATTTTCCTTGGATGCTATCAGTAGTAAAAGGGTTAACTCTATTCATCAACTCCACTGTCTCCACTGTCATCACTCTCAAGGCTTTTAGCAAAAGCTTCCAGAGAATCTAGCTCTTCCTCAACCATGTCATCAAGGCAAAGAACATGAAGTGCTTCTTTATACTCCTCTCGGATGTTCTGCAACTCAGTGGTCGATGTTGCATCTGTCTGTGTCCCCATATCTTGTACGACGGTGCTGGGAGTGGCAGCTTCTGTTTCACTGTTGGGTTCTCGCTGCGTGCTTGGTTTGTGGTATGGGAGCTTTCTCCTCTTCTTTGCAGTTTTCCACATGTCCACAGCTTTGCTGACCAGGGAATCACAGGCTTCTGTATGTGGGACAGGGCCATTGATGGTGATATGAAGGAGAGATGCAAGTAAGTCGTTCTTGATCTGACTTCTTATCCTGCTCTTGATCAATTTCAACTGACTAGCGCCCCTTTCGGGCCAAGCATTGGAAACTGGGATTGCAAGTGCTGCCTCCGCTACCTGAACAGATCTTGGATAGAACTGCCCAAATGTTGACTTCATGGCCATGACTCTTTTATGTGACCACTCGGTAGGTGTGCCTTTCTTGCTTTCCACTGTGTCTTTTGGGATGTGTTCTTTCCATGAAAGCAGATCGTACTTCAGCTTCTTCCACTCTGTTTTAAATTCGTCTGTCTCGCTGTCATCACCATCAAAGAAATGGTCAGCTAGAACCTTAACTTGTGCATCTCCGTGGCTATGGAATGCAGGACTTTGCCTGTTTGGTATCAGCATGGGATCAAATGCTGAAAATGCACTGAGCACCGGCAGAGATGACTTAAACCTCTTGTCAATGTTCTTCACAAGGGCTTTGATGTATTTCTGGAGAAGTCCCTGTAGTTCTTTAACATTGCTTTCAGTGCTCACAAGCTCCAGGGTCTCAAGACGACCACCACTAGAAAGATCTTGCTTAATTTGCTTGATGGCTTCTTCTCTGCTCTTGACCTCATTTAGCTTGTCTTTGCTGTGGTCGATGGAGGGCTTTATTGAGGCGTAATTGATAGCGCCTTTCTGAAAGGATTTGCTGAGGGTCGCCAATATAGGAAGAATCCACTTCAAAATGTATACTACACCAATGAATCTCACTTTGTTGATCTTTTTCAATAAGCCATACGCTGCAGGTTGATTTGGGTCCTGTTTCAACTGCTTGAGGGTTTGAACTACAGCAACAAGATCAGTGTACAAGGACTGGACTGCGCTATTGAATGATAGCCATCTGGTATCGCAGGCCTTTTTTAATTTCTTTGTTACCATCTTTCTTGACTCATTACTCAGTTTAAGATTTTTCATTTGCTGTTGGACCTTCAGGTAGCAAGCAAGTCGCTTTGGCGAGTTTTCAAAGAGTTTCCATAGTTGAGTTACCACAGTTTCAACCTCTTTGATAAACTTCAAATTTGCGTCATCTTTGGCATCAGTGCATGCCAAGGCTAAATTGTGACATATGCAGTGTACTGAAACCAAACGGTGGTTGACCTCTTTCAGTTTAGCAGCTAGCCCATTCTTTCTTCCCGCCATAACTGAAGCCCCATCTGTAGCCAACCCAATAAGTTTTTTAGTAGAGAGAGTACATGCTTGCAAATTGGACGTAATTGTTTCAAACATGGCTGTGGCATTTGCAGAGTCATTTTTCTCTAAAAGATTGTCCACCGAAAGAAACTCAACAGTGACTTCACTGCTGTCTTCATCGTAAAACTGGATAAATGTAATCATCTGCTCCATGACTGATATATCTGACACGTCATCCACGAGAAGTCCAAAACATCCTGCCGTTTTTGCTCTCTTCACAACTTTCTCTTTCAGTGCACAGCCCAGGGTACTAAACATTTCTCGCACTGATGCTGGTGATCGATGATCAAAGTACTTCAAATCACTTACTCCTAGCTTCTCAAGAAGGGTGAACAAGCCCGCTGCTTTTCTGTTTGCGATTCCCTCCTTAGCTAGCCAGTAAATTGAATAAAATACTTTGTAAAGAATGTCGTCGTTCACTTTCTGCCGCTCATCCAATTCTTTTTGGAAAACAGAAACTCGGTTCATCATCTCGCATGAAATTGCCGCTGAATGTTTCTGCGACTGTGCATGTTTGTTGATTGCTGTCGTTTTGTATCTTACAGAAGGCTTCCCGTTAAAAATGTCGGATTTGTTTTGTTGATTCGTACATTTGTATTTTTTGTAAATCAAGCAATACATACCCTCACCTTCAACAAACACGAGCCATCTCAAACCTGTCTTTTCACAAAATACGTTTGCTTCGAAGAGCCACTCGTGTTGGAACTTGTCTTTCTTGCTTGACAGCCTTTGTTTTTCGTCTGTTCGAAGGCCAGAACAATTTCTTTCCCGGCAGCGGTGGTAGTGGTGCAATACTTTCTTTTGATCTTCCGTAAAAAGATCGTTGATTATACTCTCTACATCCTCAGAACTGACCGAAGATTTTTTTGAAGAAGCACACCTCGCTCCAATTGCCTCAGAAGAAGTTGACTTCAGACTCCGTTTAGGTGGCGGTTCGTCTTCATCTTTTTTGTTGTCGTTGTTGTTGTCGCTGTTTGAACTCGCATTTGAGCGCTTCCCACCACCACTGCTCGTTCTGGGCGTGAAAAAATTTGTAATTTTTGGCATAGTGACCGGCAAATGGTGACCTCTGCTAAATTTTACTTTTTAGGACGGAAATATACCGTAATAATAAACACTGTTCTATAAATAGCACGAGACGTGAGAAAACTCTTCCCGCCTCTGTCGAAATTTGCATTTGCTTAGAAGTAATTTGATACTCATATTAAATATACGGTAATCATCGCCAGATTTTTTTGGCATAGCAAAGTCGTTTTTTCACAAATGTAGTTCACTATTTGCGTTTAAATTTGGCCAAGTTTTCATTTCGTGACTTTGCCGATTTTATTTGTTCGCCGTGTACTGTTTTCAAGACTTTTCACTAGTAAATAAAAAGAACGGCTCTAGCAAACAGGAAACTCTCCACGCTAAAGCAAGCCGTCGACAATTTTTTCTATTTATTTTAGGTGTTCCAATAAGCTTTTTTGGCTGGCACACTGGCTGGTTATTTATATTCTTTCGTTATTTATTTAGGTATGACTTCAGTAGCTAAATTCACGTGGGCATGACGTTAAATTTACGCATTACTTTACAATGTCCATGACATGCTCATTTCTACATATATTTTAACAATTTTCAACAACGTGCAAATGTCAACGAAAAATTATTTGTTCAACATGTTCTGTTTTTATCTTAACAAGGACACTATTTTCCCCGAATATATTTTCCTACTACATAACGGCTCCACGTCTGAGTAAAGATAGCTACAGTCCATCGAAATTTAGCCGGAGAAATCTGCGTAGTAGCCGGAGAATTCTCCGATCTCCGATGCCTAATGAACACCCTGGGAAGTGATCATCGTACTTAATAGGTGCAAACCTTTGGATATTTTTCATTATTGAATCTCCAATTAGAATCGCAGTTAATCCTTCTTGGTTGGAATTGATCTCCTCTATCTCTTGTTTTTTTGCTTTTCTAATCTTCGGAGCCAGTGTTTCTGCTCTGTACTTAGATATTTAAGAGGACAAGTTGTGATTAAAACAACAAAGAACTGGTGCTGGAGGAGAAATGGAATTTGAAAAAAGTATAGATGTGAATAGTCTGTTGACATAATCACAAATGTGAACGTAGAGATTGAATGGCCTGGATATTTATACCTTAAGATACCCATGGCATCAGTGAAACAATGTGTACTATGTGTATTATTTGTTAAGTGCTAGCTCAATTTATGAACTACTATTACAACTTTAATTAATTTATACGTACACTCACTATATATTTTAGAAAGGTAGTTGTTTTTAGTTCAGGTCAATTACTTCTACTTTCATTTTTTTTTTATTCCAACCCTTTAAGCTACACTAGAAGTACAATTTTCCAGGGTAATCTCCAGACAATTTAAGAAAGAGATGAGAGTTTCTTAAATTACCATGGCCTTTTCCTTTGTTTGAGTATGCATACTATTGGAAGAAAATTAATGTTGGTCACTTTTACAACTTAAAGGGTTATTCATTTATTTACTTCAACGAACTCTGATGGGAAATAGAGCTGAAATAGAGGTGGGCAGAGCATAAAAAGGACTTACAAAATACATTTCAATTGCCACTTGAACTGTTAGGAATTCCTAAACCCCCTTAACTTTAATGTCAAAATGCAAATTCTCCACCATGTTCTTCCCTTATTTCTTATTAATTTGAATTAATTTTAATTCTAATTTTTTCACTTTGTTAAGCGCCTAGATCTATTACTGGATAAGCGCCATATAAATGTTCTTCTTATTATTCTTCTTATTATAAATGACACTTTAGCAGGGAAGCAGTTAATCTTAGGTGATCATTTAAATCTATTTGATGTAACTTCATGAGCTTTCAGTGCTATTTCTTGAAAAAAATGGTTGATTGATAGGCTAACAGTGATCTTAATTTAAAATATTAAAGGTGGAAATAAATTTGAGTAACGAAAACAAGGTGAAAGTAAAATTGACAACTTTCAATCAGATTCTTCTTGAGATTTCATTTGTACCATAGGGGCTGTGAATATTTTTTTTACCATAGTCCCTCTTGTTATAATCCCCGTTTTCAAAGGTCAAAATTTATTAAGTCCCCTATCTCTGATAAGCTCTCCACCCTTTCTTGTTGTGATTTGATTTGTATCACTAGCAGGGAACATTCACTGAATCATAAAAAAACACACACAAGCTAACTCAGCACATCTCAGGGTTCATGGTGAAAGATTTTTGTACATTAATATTTGATTTCTGAAAGCCATGCAAAGTCAGGGCAGGTCATTGGTTTTACATTGCTTGGATTGTTCTGCAAACTTGGGTACAAAAAATTGATCACGGAAATACTGCCCTTTATAAGCATAATTTTGATCTTTTTGGATAACCTTTCGATAACCATAATATTACTACTTAAATTACTCCAGTAGACAAAAGGTGAACCCCAAGCGAAGGAGTAATATAAAAAAGGTGGAAGTAAAGTCTAGGTGGTCACAAAGAGCACCCTGTTTTTCCACTATGTGTGCAAAGTACCTATTACGCATTACGGTCAATGAAGAAAGTAGCTTGTTTTCTGGACCACTTTCCCACAAAAACGAGGCGTGATACGGAGTCCTGACCAGTGAAGAACGCTTAATTTGTCATTTTTTGCTATGCGGATTATTACTCCAGAGGAAATTATATTTGAATAAAGTTGTGCTTACCTAGAACTCATGATTTCCAGTGATTTACAGAATCGTCTGAAATTCGGGGAAAGAAATAAAGACATTTTTTCAACGAAGGCAAGGCTAAAAAACGTCACATTTTAAAGTATCAAATTAGCCCTTTCACTTAGCTAATGAAATGAGGCAAGAGAACACATATTTGTCTTAGTCTGTACGAGAAACAAGAAAAGAAACGCAGTAAATTAAAAGTTACTCACCGACGAAAGGAAACTGTTGCTGTCAAATTTGATTTTCCTGCCCGCGGGAGAGAAGTACGCGGCCGGACCAGATGTGACGTCATAAATCGGTGGACCATAGGTATACGAAACAAGTACCAGGCGCTATTGGAGTCGTGCCCCCCTCCTGGTCACACCCTTTCATGAAGGTATGTCCTTTTAACCCAACAAGCATAGCTAGAACAAGTTCAACATTGCCTGCATAACAATACATAACAGCAGGATCTAAATGACAGCCCATAACTGCAACTTTAAAGTGTGTTAAGGTACATGTACCTCTGTCAGCAAATTTACATTCTGCTTGAGTTCATGCTTTGTAAAGTAAATAAAATCTAAGCAAAGTCCTCAATTGTGTTTCTGTATACACCTTTTGGGGGCCAACTATTTCACTTTCAGCGGGGTATGGGCGATTTCAGAAAACATATCCTGCAGACTGATTTCAAGGGGAAAAAATTAATTCCTACAATGAAAAAAAAATCTTTCGTGGCTTATAATCCTGGAAATAATTTTTGCACCGTTGTATGTTAGGGAAAAATTCTATCAGTAGAGGTTTAGGAAAATACCAAATCACCCATACTACCCCCTCAAAAGTCAATTAATGGTTGGCCCTTCAAGAAAAGTTCATTTCAATAGAGTCCACTCTAATAATTGTACAATAAGGCTTGCACTGGCTATTACCTACCGACAAGGTTTTAGCCAGAAGGGTGTCCAGCCGTCCTATGGACGCCCATTTTTGGAGTACATAAAAGGAAAATTCACTTAATCTCTTATAATTTTATGACACAACATGCCTTCTGGACGGCCAGTTTTCAATGTCTGGCTAAAAGCCTGCCTACTGATCTTTCTTTGGGACGTTTGTACCGGGTGTGCATATTTGCACTCAAAACGTATTCCAACCTTGCTCCCAGGGTATTCTTCCACTTGTCCCATAGAGTTAGAGGGGACAAATAAGAGAGCACTCTGGGAGCAAGGTTGAATTTTATTCTTATCACAAGATGAGGGAACAGTAACATGGGCTTGCTAGGCAGATGTTCTTCTCCAGACAATCTCGACATATTACAAAGAAATTTTTACCAGTCAAGCAGGAAATATGAAATGAATGCCAACTACCTTCAAACAGTTTCCATGGGAGGTCAGAAGATTCACTACACATTGGGCTGTCCAATCTTTTACTGGGATCAGGTGGTGGATGAAAACTGAAACCAAGAGGAAGGATGTTACTCTTCATTGACTTCTCTCCACATAGATTGGGTAATAACCAGAAAGAACAGTTCCTTCTTTGGCCAGGCTCTCTTGGCACAACAGTTGCTGCATGCAGATTGGATGCAATCGCAAGAAGAACATTGGTAATGGCAGTAGCTGCCTTACAGTAAAGACTTGTAAGTTGTTGTCTGCTAAACACAGAATTCTTTGATGGTGTAAAAGTGGCACGCCAGTTGCTCTGCCTCGTGCTGCGTGCAAAAATTCCACGTACCTTTTCGCGTACCTGTTCATCTGAGTCACTTAGTAACCTTTGTTTGGCGCCTGATGACACTGGGCACATGCTCTACATAATACATATCAGTGACATTCAGGTTTAAAGAAGACAAATTGTAAATTTCCCTGTTGCCACCACCATTCTTCCAAAACAAAATGTTACTCAACCAGATGAGCGGGCACTTGTTGTAGTGCCTTCTTCGAAAACAAAAGAGCATAACCCACAACCTAAAAATTGAGTAGAAGTAGTCATCCAGACGATTTAATTTAAAAAGGATGTTGTAAGAGGCCAGTGCAAGTGGGATGTCGTTATCAAGAAGGTTGACTGGTGGAAAGACGCTTCGTGCAGCACTTCTTATCAAGGCTCAACCTCCATAGGTTACTTCAAGAACGAATCGAGTTCGCCGTGGTTTTGGTTTGTCAGCCAGTCTTTTTCCGGGGAATATGGATTCATAAATGGCAAAAAGTTTGTGCCAATGTCTTCATCTGCATTTAGATCTAAATGCAATGGACCCATGTAGGTACTAACGAACTGACAGGATTTGGGGGTACACTCTCCACACTTGAACTACAAACCTTGTATATAATTTGACGGGCAAAAAAATTGTGAGGGCCAGTTCCCAGGCAATAAAACAACAAACTTTGAGAGATATTCTTTAAGATGGCTTTGAAGAGCCTAATCTAATGCAGTTTCATAGTTTTCCCTGGACTTTAAAGGCAACTTTACAAAGTCTAGAAGATGCACAACACACAGAATGATCGCATACTTCTGACTGTTGTAGCCGCATGGTAACCATTGGCTTCCAAGCGTTGTCTCTCCATTGATGGATCAAAAAATAAAGCTGATAACTCAGGTAATGTTGCTAGTATGACTGAGAAAGGTTTTCAAAAGAGGACTGTGAAAAAAGAAAAAGAGATAAACTTTCCACATCAATTCCCTTGGGGTTGTGAATGGTTTTAACCTCCGTCCGTGGAATGGCCTTGATGTCTTTGACAACCTTGAGATGACGGTGCAGAAATTGTCTGCTACGGATGTACTTTCATCTGTAGCTCGTCTCTTGGTGTACACTTTTGTCCAGTCATTTATCATCAAGGTTATCAAGCACTCATTTTCGATAGCCTCCTTCACAACTTCTTGCAATAACTCTGAGCTGTTTTTTGCGGAGTTGACAATTTCACGTTTACCTGAGCGAGAGCCAACGGCTGTCCCTAATACTCGCTGAGTGTCAATGCCTTCATCTGTTAAGGGACTGGTCAAAAAGTATAGGGGGGGGGGGGGGTGGGCCGGAGCAGAGGGGGGGTGGGTCATGAGGTTTTGAGCCTTGTGCAAGGGGTGGGTCGTGCAATTTTCAGCTACCCTTAGGGGGTGGGTCACCCTATTTTATTACATAGATAGGCACTAACTACTAACGAGACAGTTGACTACACTTGTTATATAAAACACAGCCAGCTGGAATTATTGCTGAAATACTCGTAAACCTGTTGTGCGAGAAAGTACAAAAGGGTGACAGGCCGCACATCTATACGGGAGTGGAACCCTTAACCTTTTTTCTTTGGCTCTTACGAGCATGTCCTTTAATGATTTTCCTTTTTTGTAAGGAAATGATTGGTGGCTCTTTAAAAATTTATTGAGGTTACAGTTGGTTTTGTATAAGATTCCATTTTTTCATTCAAGCTTCCTTTATCGTAGACACTGAGGGCTGGTATTGTGTCACGAATGGCAATATTTCTTTTTCCTCCTTGTTGTTTTGTTTTAGGAGTTTAGACTCCCTTTCGTGAATTTTATTTCTGATGGTATGTTTTCTATCAAAGATTGTGGGTAGCCTCCGTCCATCAAGCGTTGTTTTTTAAATTTGAATTATTTTCCTCAAAGGTTGTTTCTGAGGAGTTTTTTCGTAGGATTCTCAAGGCTCCTTCTTCGACAAATCCTTTTTTAACATTTGGAGGGTGACACGAAGTGAAATGTGTGTGCAAGAAGGTTTGCCTCTGTTAAAAATGTGTCTTTGCATCAAGGATAGATTTTTCCTTGAATCTTGTGCCTTTGTCTACAACCGTGTCTAAAAACGCAGTCTCAGTGTCAAATGTTTCGGCCGTGAATTCAATAGTTGGTAATGTAAGTTTGCTTGTTCCATGAAGTCTTCGATGTCTGGTTTACTCATGTCCCATAGGGCAAAGATATCGTGCATGTAGCATTTCCAAACTGTTGTTCTAAAGACAGTTTTGCTTAGAGTTGTTGTTTCAATATATGTCATGAAAATAGTGGCAAAGGAATCAAATCTGCTTTCTTTGTGCCCATTGCAGTTCCATGGTTTTGTAGGTAGTGCTTTCCATTGAAGTGGAAGAAATTTTCTTTGAGGGTCGATTAATCTAAGCATTTCCGGCAAGTAATGTGTAGGAATGGGTTGTCTTTGTAGAAATTTTCATATGCTTTGTGACAGACAATTTCAATATACCCTCGTTTTGCTGTATCTCGAAACAAAGAATGTTGGGTTTTTCACATTTGTCTTTTCAGTGAAAGGTATGATTTCTGTGATTTTGATATTGGTTGTAGCAGTGTATCAACAAATTTTGTCAAGCACAGAACAAGGTTTTATTGGATTATTAAGAGGAAACCAAACATCCATGTTTTAACTAGGGGGTGGGTCATGCAATTTCCAACCTTGCTTTAGGGGTGGGTCAGTCATTTTTGTGCCGAAGGGAGGGGGTGGGTCATGTGTTTATGTGTTATACTTTTTGACCGGTCCCTAAGAGGCAAAATTTTAAAAAAATGCCATTATCCTTCTGTAAGGTGCCACATCGTTATGACAAACTGAAACAAAATTGGTATAACATTGCCACAGTGCGCTTCTTATTAAGTTCTTTCCTGTCTTTTCAATGACGGTCAGATGAAATTGATGACAAGATAAAATTGAACACATTACCAGCATTGGCAGTTTTGCAAAAAGAACAAAACTGATCTGGTTCATAAATTGGTGGTTTCCCTTCTTTAATGAACATCTTGAAGACAGCTTTCTCTAGTTGGCTAATTTCTTTCTTTAGCTCTTCACCTAACAAAAAGCAAAAACCAATGTTCGCAATCAGCCGGTAGCATATTTTTAATCTCGAGCAAAGATATAGAATACTTTTCTGGAATGACCATCTTGACTCTGGATGTCGTTATATATTTGTATATATATATAATTTGCACGGGCTCTCTTGCCAGAAGGAGGAGTCTAGGTTCAGCATGCTTCCCATCCCCTGTAACGGAACCTGCCTTGCGGTTTCGCAGTGGAAATTAAGGATGGTACTTATGGTTGGGTACCGATCCAGCCGTCTCAACCAAATAAGCCATTTTCTGGACCGGTTTCGACTGTACTGTCTTCTTCAGCGGAATTTTACAGTTTCAGCTTGTCCGGTCGCTTACGCGCCGTTGGACTTATTGCATTAACTATGTGTCACAACTCTGTTTATACCATAAATTGACAATTACGTGTATGACGTGGGTAGGGCATCAACAGATTGATTAATGAGTTGTACTTATTTTCGTGCACAGTTCTTTGGCATTTTTGTAGTGTTAACGCGGAATTAACTTTAAAATAACTTTATTAACTTAAAATCTAAATGTCTCTCTATCCTTACAATTTGAGGCTAGCTTGTGCTACTTCTGAAGTTTTAACTTAATTGCTACTAGAGAACTGTTTTTCTCTGATTATTTTGGCGGTAATGTCTTTACTCTTGCGCAAAATTTTATTACGTATATGATGTCTGCATGATGCATCTCATCTGCTTGAGAAAGTTGGAGCTCGCGCTGCACGATTTTAGAGTTTTAGAAGTTTGTCTGCTAGTTTTATGCCACAGGTTCCCCAAACAACATTGCAATAGTCGAAATGCGGCTGAATCAAGGCTTCGTAGATAAGATGCAATGTTGCTGGGAGAACAAATTGCCTGACCCGTTTGATAGCGGCAATACCAGAGGCAATTTTTTGAGCCAGTTTCTCGATATGACTGCCCCAGGTAAGGATTGCATCAATGAGTACACCTAGAGATTTAACGTTGATACCTGGTTTACGGGAGTACCATTGATGCTCAGAACGGGAGAGGCAGTTAAGGTGTTTAGCTTTTGTCTCGAGCCGATTAGCATAAACTCAATCTTAGTCATATTAAGTGTGAGTTTGTTAGCGATCAGCCGTTTACTGATATTTAGCAAGTCTGTATTCAAACAGGACTGAATGATATTCACATTTCACATCTTTATCAGCGTGATTAAGATTCGTATCATCGGTATACATTCTAGAGCAAGAGTTTGTTAAGCAATTTGGTAAGTCGTTTATGTATAGCAAAAAACGTAGAGGACCCAATACAGTGGGATACCACATTGGAGAGAGCAGGTCTTGAAAAGTGAACCACTAACAGAACATGTTTGAGTTCGGTTTTCTAAGTATGATTTAAACCAATTGTAAGCATTACTTGAATTCCGTAGGCGCTTGATTCAGACAGTAATACCGTGTGGTCTACTGTATTCTCCTTTTCAAAAGCTTCGATTGGGCCAGACTTGGTGGAAAGATCAGTCGACCGTTTCAACGATTCAAAATTTAATTGCAGAAGCTCAATGCCCTCGCAAACAGAATTGAGCTTAGCTTTGACATCAAAGGCTTCTCAGTCTTGTGAGTTGGATCAGTGCCAGAAGCGAAACTGTTAACGAAGACTTTTTGATTCACATGTACACGTTTCTGTGTTTGGGTGGAGTAGTCTATAGAGGTCAGCAAGGTTTAACTCTTTCATTACATATAATAAACCATTTCTGTAGGTTCGGGTCCCTTCCATGGACGTCCACGTTTCTTATCTATTTGATTGAGCGTTGTGTTCCAATCTCCGACCAAAATGACGTGTGATATGCAAGCTTTCGACATCAAGAGATGAGTAAGTTTTCTCAGAAAGGGCATTTGAAGCTGATAATCTGTTGGAGCATAAATGTTAGTTATCGTAAGCTCCTCGTTGGGTAATTTAACACTGCATGGCAAAGATATATCGCCCGTCCGTGTCAATGACTGTTGCTTCTAAACCAAAGCTGTTTGCTTTCACAAGATACATACACCTCTGGCGTGCTCTGAACCGTGACGGTAGAATACATTAAAACCTATTGCACGTTTCTGAAGGATTGTTATTTTGTAAGGATTCGTTTCACGGGCTCTTCCCCTAGAAATAAGGACATAGAGGTTAAGCAAGGGGTTATTAGTGTATTATAAATGTACAAAATGTCTTCGTTAGTTAGCATCGCAATAGTTTGACTTATATTTGTAGCTACTGTGTGAATGTGGTTCCTCCATGACAATTTCTCATCTATTAACACTTTCACTTCATGTTTAAATCTCTCTTTCTCCTTAACATTTACACTTTTTTACTATTATTAAAAATATATAACATCGAGAAGGATTATGAACTTTGATCGAAAGGGGCACAAATTGACGTTACAGCATTTGACGTTACAATATTTGCTGTTATCCAATTATCTGACTTTCATTATTCAATTTTTACCGTTGCTTCCACTTTTACAAGGTTTTGAAAGGATTTCAGTTCCATCCGCAATGCAAATTATTTAAATTATTCGGAGCGATAAGATTTATCATTTACATATAACAAGAAATGCAGGGGCCCTAACACAAACCCTTGTGGTACACCATTACACCATGAGTAGCATCACTCCTCTGACTTCTTTCGGCCTGCGTAGCCCTTCGTGGGTTTCTGGGTATAAATAACAAGTAAAATCGTAAGACGGAAACCATCATAAAATTGAGTAATTTTAGTTTTCAGTCATTCTTTTTTACATTTTTCAAAGGCTAGAGACATAATTAGTTATTTGTAATAATACCAAAAAGACAATTTCTCATGGGAGCCGCGAGTTGCAATAACTGCGGTGAAGAAACTAGTATTCATTGTAAAAGTGACAATCTCTTGGCGAGAACGGCGACGGCATGAACCGTTTTTCCTTTGCCCCTAGCTTTTTGAGTCTGAGGTAATTTTGACGTGAACCTCCTCCTTGAACCTGCACTAACGGATACACCGAACGTTTTTCTGCTCTTATACTACTACATGAGAAATTTCTGCAATTTGATTGGCTTAGAGCAGTGGTATTTCAGCTTAATTTGAAATACCTATGAGAAAATTACAAACCTTTTGTGGGTAGTAGTACAAACAATTAATAGCATGATTTGTACGTGATATTTGGTATAAATGGCACTCGTGATATTTCAAAATTGTCTCAAATTTCACTCTGGTAACGGCTCGTGAAATTACGTATAGCAATTTCGAAATATCACTCGTGGTTTTTATGCCAAATATCACTACAAATCATGCTATTACCTATACTAATAGCATGATTTGTACGGGACATTTTGCATAAAAACCACTCGTGATATTTCACAATTGTCTCAAATTTCACTCGCAGAAACGGCTCTTGAAATTACGTAAACAATTTCGAAATATCACTCATGGTATTTATACTAAATATGACTACAGATCATGCTATTACCTACACTAATTTATAATTTCACATATGAAGTTACAAAATTGCCATGGCAACCTTCACTACGTCTCAGTGCCAAAATGGCGACGAAGTTCTAAAATGTTATGAATGAAGATGTCAGGGCATTAAAAGACAGTTTAGAGAACCTAAACTAACGGAAGAGTACATCGAGGAGGATTCTAACAAGTATTTTGTCGAACAATTCTGAAAATTCTCAACTTAAGCCAAATTTAAGCTCTAGACGTTTGAGAGAGTGAAGTTCTCCATCGATACGATCCAAGATAATCAAAATTCCTCGACTGCTAACGTAAATCGTTACCCATTACATTAATAGGTAATCCAAAAGGCGAGGGAAATTATTAGGATTTGGACAATACGCAAGTGAAATTATTCCCTAATTTCACGACACATACTTTTTGTTCGTGGGTTTAAAGGGATACGAAAGAGTTGGAAGCCGGCGGAAATTGGCTTTCAACTGTTGGGTTTATTCTTCAAAAATTGGCAAAATTAAGGGATAAATAAAATATCAGAATCTTTTTCAGACGTACCTTTGTGACTGACCAGACATAGCCGACGTTCTTCGCTGTCAGATAAAATGTACGAGCCTCCTTCGATCTCCAGCCCCCTTTAGATTCTTTCCGACTTGTAAGCTGCCTGTTGCACCATTTGCTCTTAGAGTCGCAGCCCCTTTTACTACGAATCCTGTGGAATGATATTGTGGGAGTGGTATGTGTAATGTACTAATCAAATGGTAACGCCCGAAATAAGGAAATGATCGCTGGAGCCTGGGGATAGACGGAGAAGTGAAGCCTGTAAGAATTGTTTCAAACCTGTTTCCGATATACAGGCTTTTGATATACCTTATAATTGATCAATTTTGACAGTTTACGTCAACACGTTCGTCAGTCATGTGGTTTTTGCGCGCGTAGGGTCTTAACAAACTTGGCGAGCCTGTAAAGCACTCATACACAGCACGTTTCGAAATTTTGACACAAGAAACGGTTTTTCAGAAGGTGGGAGATGAGAGGAGAGAGGCAGAAAAAAAGGCTGGACTGAGGTACAGTAGAATTCCGGTGACTCGAACTCTGAAGGGAAACGCAAAACAGTTCGAGTTATCGGGGTCGATTGCAAAATTCAATTTTCAGTGCTAAAAATTGACACTTGCTGATTTTTTTATTGCAGTGCAAGTTTAACTTATTTTTATCAGAAACGGTAACATAATTAGGCATTTTTTTGATAAAACGTGATCTGTTCGTTGCACCAATAAAAATCAAATTGCTGTAAGTCTTAACCACTCTTAGACATAGTGTGTTTTTACTGATTGTACAACAAGAGCCAATGGAATGACAACCGAGTATAGTTACAAGAAGTAGAATTCGAGTTATCGAGGTAATTTTCAAGGGTGAGGAAATTTAGTTCGAGTTAGCGGGGAATTCCAGTTATCCGAGTTCGAGTTTGTCTAGTAAAAACGACTGAAAAGTGGGATGAAATCCAAGGGAAATTGTACTTAGTTCCAGTTAACGGGGTGTTCGAGTTATTGGATTCTACTGCATTTAAAAAGATGCTTATAGGCTCTATTCTCTGTATCAGAAAAACAGGAAAACCTTTAATGTATCTGTAGCCTTGGAGGTGAGAAGAACTCCTACCTCTCTTGGCGAACACAACAGATTTCCCAAAGATCTGCGTATGTCTTTAATGTCACTCGGCTGTCCTCGCCAGATAATATATCAAACGACAGGTACTGTCCACAGTAGCCATACTTAGGACACTTGTAGATGTTCTGTACTGTGTAGAGATTGTTACCATGGGGGATAAGTTTCCAGTGGCAGTTTTCAATCGCAGTTGTAATGTAGGGGTGACCGTCCTTCATTAAGCTGTTCTCGTCTGTCGCCCACGTGATTGGGTTCAGCTTTTGACCAGAAATGTGTGGCGTCAGACACCATCTTCCAGCCATGGAACGATCATAATCGGGTACTTTCAACACCTTTGTCAAATAGGAATCTGTGAATGGGCTCACGTCAGGGTCGAAGTAATTTAGTGCCATCTTGCCAATTTTACCTTGGCGAAGGAATATTATCAGATGCTTTTGCTGATCGCGTATAGATTCCTGGGCAGCTAACAAGGCTGGTCGGTTGGGTTCTAGGTTGATAGGTAACAAAGTCGCTGCTTTCTGCATGATCATGTCTTTAAGAATCGCCATTTTTGTATACAGCTCAATGTATTTCAATGTCTTTTTGGCATCGCTTATTTTGTTGACCTTCAGAAGACCGTCAATTTCACTTGCCAATTTCCCCATGAAGGGGAGGTCAAGATACAGTGGCACATGCCTCTCAAGTGACGCCGCCTGAGAAACGGTGAGCTTTTTGCCAGACTGGGCCAGCTTATCCATATATGCCTTGGAAACTTGGAATGTACTGGTAATGCCTTCAGCCTTATTACTAAGATCGCTCTCACGGAATTGTGCCAATGCCTCATCTATTTCTTCACGCACAATTTCTCCGATAGATTTCTTTTCCTGTCCCCCCGCTCCAAAAAGACTCAGATACCCGGAGACGAAACTTAAGGCTACGGCAGCAATTTGGCCAGTGGGACCGGCAAGAGCTGCAAACTGTGCCACCATGTTGAGTGCTCCCTGTACTGCGCCAACTGGATCACTTCCCGCATTTAAAAACTTGTGAATATTTGAGGCAGCGGCCTGTAGAGTCTGCGTCATAACCGCTCTATCACCGAACGAGATCTCATTCCACTGTCCCTTTAGCTCAGTTAGACCATTCATAGCGCCCGTTGCTTGTGTTCCCAATTCCCCAAAAGCAGTTTGCAGTGTGTTGATAGCGTCGTATGGGACTGAAATTAAAATCAAAGCATAAGTAGCGGCCGTTGTAATGACGACACCGTTTACAAAGGTTCGGACAAACTTTTTAACGGACGAATTTTTTTCCCGTGCAAATTATGTTGCGGGTTGCAGTTTTGTTTACCGTTCGATAACTTGCACGGTTCCGCGGGTCCCGAGTAAACGAAAGTCGAATTCGTGCATTTTTTGTCCGTTCAAATATTTGTCCGAAGCGTGTAAACAGGGCCTAACAAGTGAAGGAAAAAAAACTGGAAAACAACAATTTCATTCAGCGAAAGGATGAATAACACAATCATATGACCGTTTCAGTTTCCGTGGTCACTTTCTCGTTAGACGTTTCATGGGTATGTGCGTTGCCAAAACATGTGGTTTTGACTTTTTATGGCACAGGTGGCCCAAGGTCGAAAGTTTACTGTAATGTTGCCAGCATAACCTTCAAAATATAAGGATTTGTACAAAGAAAACGATTATTTCTGTAGCCCGCGAATGTGAAGGAAATTTAATGCAAATCGAGTAACCTCACGGTGTTGCGAATTTCTTCTTTCCAGGGCCATTGTATGGGTTTTGTTGAAACTAGTCTGTTCTCTATATGCTATATATAAAAGAACAAACAGGCTCAGGAATCACACAGAAAAGAGAAAAACACAGCTTCATTGAGGTTAGCTGATTTTACAATGCAATAACTTTATTATTTCTCGCGAGGGGGGCTATTCTGAGATAATTTACAAAGGAAATTGTAACTGATCTTTATGCCTTGTGCTGTAACTACGTGTATCCGACCTTTTGCCGATGTTACTGGCTTAACAGGCAGGCGCAAGGCAATTGATAATATAATACAAAAGCGCAGACATCCCGTACTTCCAGGTGACTCTTGACTGAGGGCCACTGTAACATGATCGAGCTTCTTAGTGTTAGTCACAAGACGAGCAGCAAAGTTTTACACCAGTTGCAGCTTTTGTAGGTTTTGCTTGATCGTACCAGCCCAGAAACGTAGAACAGAATAACCTAGTAAGTACAAGCGAGTTTAGGATCAGAATAGGTCTAGAGAACAGGTGCGTAACCCCACTTATCTGACACAAGGTAGACAAGAGAGAAGACGTTAAGCAGGTAAAATGTTCATTAAAAGTTAAATGAGAGTTCAGTACAATTCCTAAATACTTGACAGACGAAACAGGAACAAGCGCTTGTCCAAAGAACGGTACACAATTGTCACAAGTTTTCCTGACTTGCGTCAAAAGCTGTCTGGTTCGAAACACAAAGAGTTTGGTTTTGCTAGGATTAATCAGCAGTTGATTTGAGTAACACTACTTGGCAGCATGGCGGAGGTCTTCAGAGTTTCTCTCCAGAGAGAGTTCAACATCCTTAGACGAGAAGGACAGAAAAATCTTCGTATCATCCACATAAGATTCCACTCTGCTAAACTGGACTGCGTTTGGCAGCTAATAATAATAATAATAATAATCCATTTATATAGCGCCTTTTCTACAAGATTCAAAGGCGCTGTTTACAAAAAATTAGATAGAAGTAAAAAGTAAAAATAATCGCAAGAAATTGACATTAAAACTAGACGCTAACTACAAAATAGATAAATGTACACAATAGATAAAAAAATCAGATAACAAATAAAAACGTCAAGATTCATAAGCTCGCATAAAAAGAAATGTTTTAAGTTTGCGTTTAAAATCATCAATTGAGTTTGCAGATTTAATATCCTCAGGTAAGTTATTCCAAAGTTCCGGAGCAGCAACAGAAAAAGCTCGTTTACCATACGAACTGAGATTAAAATAGGGTTTAACTAATAAATTTCTGTTGGAGGATCTAAGATTGCAGCTGGGTGTATACAATTGAAGGAGTTCCTGTGCATAGATTGGAGCTCGATCATGTAGTACCTTGTAAGTAATTAACATAATTTTAAATTCAATGCGAAAGGAGACAGGGAGCCAGTGAAGATCCATCAGGACTGGAGTAATATGGCAAAATCTTGGACACTGGTTGACAAGGCGAGCAGCAGAATTTTGAACATGTTGAAGCTTCCGAATAAGATAGGATGGTAGGCCGTACAATAAAGAATTACAATAATCAAGTTTAGAAACTACGAAGGCATGAATAATGATCTTTGCAGCATCATAAGTAAGATATTTGCGTATGAAACCAATGTTACGAAGATGAAAAAAGGACGATTGACAGACTGCATTGACATGAGGTACCATACAAAGGGACTGATCAAAGATAACTCCAATATTGCGTGCACTGGGGGAGCAGGATACAGTCTCATTACATATATCAACAGAAGATAGTGGTGGCCGAGGTCGATAGGAAGAGGATATTACGAGAACTTCGGACTTGTCTTTATTTAATTTCAGCTTGTTGGAAAGCATCCATCCGTCCATGTCCCGAACACAGTTTACCAACTTGGCGTTACTCAGATTTATATTAGAAACAGACGACGTCCTGAACGTAATATATAGCTGAGTGTCATCAGCATGTAAGTGATAGAACATTTGATGACGTCGAGCAATCTCGCCAAGAGGGGATGTGTACATTGAATATAACAACGGGCCAAGAACGGATCCCTGCGGTACACCAAACTCAAGAACATGAGAAGCAGAGCACGCACCATTAACCTGCACAAACTGTGTACGATCAGAAAGATATGATCGAAACCATTCCAATACAGTTCCAGTAATTCCAAAGCGATTGGACAGTCGCGAAAGGAGGATACCATGATCAACAGTATCAAATGCAGCCGAAAGATCGAGAAGTACCAGGATAACTGAATTATGTTGATCTATTGCCATGGCTGTCATTGTGGACTCTAATAAGAGCCGTCTCTGTACTATGGTTTCTCTTATAGGCCGATTGATATGTTTCACCAAGGTCATTAATATCTAAGTATTGAATCAGCTGTTTAGCAACACATTTTTCAATAGTTTTGGATATGAAACGAAGATTAGAAATAGGCCTATAGTTCTTGAAGTCGTTCGAATCCAGAGAGGGCTTTTTGAGCAATGGCTTAAGTATAGCTTGTTTAAGTATTCCAGGCATCCGACCAGTTTCCAAGGAAAGGTTGACAATCTTGATCATTCATATGTAGACTTAATATTGCAGGGCGCAAGATAGACCCTTGCGGCACGCCATAATTTACTGTGAGCTGATCCGATAGTGAGGTGCCGACCTTTGTTAGCTGCATGCGGACAGTAAGGTAGCTTTCAAACGACTTGAGTTCCTGACTTGACGTACCTAGGTAGCATAACCTTTTAACGATTTCTTTGTGGTTTAAGGTTTCTCGTAATTGGTCGCAGGAAACAATGACATGTCATTCATTCAATTGTTTTAGTATTGTTTGGGGTCAGGGAAACGCACCATTGGTGACTTCTCTTCCGAGCAGCTGCTACATGACCCGAGTA